GTGTGGGTTAATACAAAAATAACCAACAACAACTTGGTGTAATGTCGCTAACCATTTTGGAGTTGATTATTTTCATATAACCGCACACCTCAGCACCCATGTCACATGTTTGGACCAATAACAAAATAGTATTTACCAAATCTGGGGTATAACCTATGATAATGTTTGCTTGTCACTCCAGCACTTCATATTATGCTATTTGCACATAGTCTGTTTATAATTTATCTGTTTTATATTTGACTATCTCAGTATGTGTTCACTTTTATTGATAGTTTACTCATGTATATTGTTTATATATTTTATATATCCTCCTGAGATCTAGGGAAAAAAGTTTTTTTTTTTTTTAATTATAATTATTGATTAAAATTTTAGGTGGCATGGGGGTATAGTGGTTGGTACCGTTGCCTCACACCACTGGGACCTGGGTTCAACTTTCTGCCATGGCTCTGTGTGTGGAGCTTGTGTAAGCAGGGATTTTTATGGTGACAAGTAAGGGTTAATAGAAAACACCTGTGAGGTGGAAGTATGGACGCTATAAAATACCAGTGAAGGAGTGAGCAGTGAGGCCTCCATATGCTTGGTGGTGCTTGGAATCCACGCTGCAGCTGCCATATGCGAAGGCGCGTATCTCGGGGAGATTATCGCATTGTTGGGACATAAGACGAGTACTGGCAGGGTGCGCCGGATTGGGAAGTTAGCGACGCAGGTCCGCGTTCGGTGGCGGCGGCGTGGACTCCAGGCGCCACGGGAAAGGTTTGTGGTTCCTGTTAGAAGCCGGGGTATTATTTATGTTGTGGGTTTTTGTTTTCGGGGGATTGTGATGTCTTCCCCCAACTAGTTAATTTGTGAAGTTATACCTGTTACACTTGCATGTTCTCCCACGTGGGGTTGCGGGGTTTCCTCTAGGTACTTTCCCCCCACAAACCAAAAACATGCTGAGGATAATTGGAGTTACCAAATTGAATACAGTGGCATGTATAGTATGAGAGATATGAGCAAAAACCTAATATCCTCTACAGTGGACAAAACATTGCTGGATCTCAGGAGGATATTATTTACTTCATATTTGTATTGCATTGGCTTTGGAAGTTGAATCTTGAATGTTAGATACGCCACAAGGAAAGCACAAGATACGTGGCAGAAGGTGGTTATTCAGACAAAGGTCTGTGTGTCATTCGAGAAATGCACTGCAAATGGCGTGCTCTCCTGGCCCAGGTTTCTTGAAAGCCACTGGTTTGTATGGGTGACACAGATGAACCACATCCCCATGAACATCGACCATGAGGCACACCAAGATTGGCTGACCATGCAGGTACACTTTAATCCCAGCAGCCTAACCCTTTCTTTGTCTTTGATTTACCCACAAAATCACTGTATTTTTACCACAAAACAACTATTTGAATATTGACACTGACACCAAAAACCAGACTAATAAAAACTTAAAGAATCCTAAGATTAATATGACCTTTATATAATGAAAGATATGGTAAGATTGAAGGTTTGTAGAACGTGACTGCGTATGTACATTATCTTTGCTTTTTTCTTCCTTTTAAGCTGAGTGCGACATGTAACGTTGAGCAGTCTCCCTTCAATGACTGGTTTAGTGGACATCTCAACTTCCAGATTGAGCATCAGTAAGTGCAGCACACGGCATTTCAGCAAACGACCACTTTGATACCTTCGACACTTCAGCCTGGCCACAGTTTGCCAGACCTGACGTGGTCCCCATACCTGTTTTGCTGCAGCCTGTTTCCTACAATGCCCCGGCACAACTACCAGCGTGCGGCTCCCATGGTGAGGGCGCTGTGCGAGAAACACGGCATTCCCTACCAGGTCAAATCGCTCTGGTGCGCTTTCGCTGACATTGTTGGGTAAGAGGACCTCAACTAACCTACCGCACCCTATATTCTCTGAATGCTATTAGCGTTGAACTTTGTTTTTTGATTTGACTAGTTGTCTTATTAAGTTCTTGCGATGTTAAAACAATACTGGACATTCATTGGAAGCTCAGCCTCTCTGCATTTATGCCCAGTTGATGTACTGTTTGCCTCACCTGTACATCACTTTGACAAAAGCGTCTGCTAAAAAAAATAAATGTAATGTACTTATATGGACACAGCTCACCATTGGGGTTTATATTAACAAAGTCACACTCTCACTGGCAGTGACCCACATGGGACATTGATGATGACAGTGTCATTTATCTCTGTTAATACCCACTTTTGCTTTCTTTTATTTTTTTAGCTCCCTTAGGAAGTCTGGAGGCTTATGGTTAGATGCATATCTCCACAAATAACACCACCAAAACCACTGGATTCCCTGGGTTTTTTTTCATGAGAAGAAAGAATCTCTTCATATTTATGAGTTTATTGAAATGTAGCCATACCTTGTTCTGGCTAACTTGACTAGCATTGTGTACATGTCTTTAATTATGTGATTTTTTTCAGAACTGTTAATTGTTGTTATCGGGAATGATAACTTTGTATTGTTGTTTGTATTGTTGGAAAGAACATGCAAACTTTTCCTGACATTTGTAGATATGGGAAGGATGCCTGTAATTTTCTGGCTTTCTGAATGCATTTTGTGGAAAATACAAAAGTAAATCATTAATATTTGTACATAGTGTGTTTGCTGAAATTATCCTTTTCCACTTTATCATGTTTAAAGCCCCAATCATGTAAAAAATGTAGTGGTTATTAAAAAACACTCAGTAGATTTACAGGCACACTAAGAAAATATTATTATTGTGTTAGTCCAACTAAAACTGGACTTTTAAAGTACATTTAAACATATTAGTCTAGCTGAAATCGTACTAAATCGAACTAAGACACCCCAGATAATCTTATTGGGAATCGATTTAATCCTGCATATATACGTTCAATCGGACTCAAACTGGCCTAGCTACTCTGCGCATGATCCACAGTCTCCCCCCTCTGGGCTTTGTAATAGTAGAAGCCGGTACAGAGACTGCAGAGGACATACAACATATATGAAATGTACAGTGCTGTAAAGCTGTCCAATTCACCACTCAACTAAAGGGCAATTTCCCACCGCACCAGCTACTGTATGTTGGGTCCTTCAAGAAGGTATAAAATGTATGGTAATTATATAGGTGTTTGTTTTCCACTGGTGTAAAAAATGGTACCCGTGCCGAATGACATCAGGCAGGGTATTTTGTACTAAATTCTAAAAATGTCTGTAGTAGGACTGGACAACGTGTGATATTAATACCAGCATTGCATTACGTGTTATTCACATCTAATTCTTACATCGCTAGTCAGCTAGATTAATATCAGGCTTTTTCTTCCCTTTGGTTTGGTATGGATATTATAACACAGGGAGTTTAAGTCTCGCTAAAACTTTTCTACTCTGTCATAAGAAAAAAAACCTAGCAAGAATTACAATTTTAGTGATTATTCCTTTTCAACATTATCTAGTATATTTTTAAAAATCAGTTTAAAGTTTGCTCCTCTGCTTTTGCATGAGTGCTGCATGCGTTCTCCGAGACAATCATAATCATTTTCATCCTTGCTGTTTAAATCACTCCTAGACGGGTTTGCGAGAAATGTATGTTGAACTCCTTTTTTGTTTCATAAATACCCAAATATTTATTATAACAAAATGCCAGCAATATTTGAAAAATTTCCAATATTATGCTGTATAGTATAATAGTATATTATACAAAATACTTTATTTATTTTTATGCTATTATGATCTTATTGCATCTGTTCTTCCAACCAGATTGCAATTAAACCTTGTGTCACTTAATTTGTCCACACACCCATTATTTTAAATGTTGTTATTTTTTATGTCTGTGACATAATAGGTCAGCCGGAAAAAGCCCAATACTAACAAGCTGAAAAGAGCCATATAGCCACCTATTGTAGTGGAGTCTGACATACTTCGGTCAATAAATCGATTCCCCTCCCGTGCATGTATACTGGGACAAGGACAGTAGTCTGATTAAACGGCGTAGTCGAGGTATATCTGTAGCTCAACTTAGCTGTGCATGTAAACATACTGATTGACCAAATGGACTGCAGAGATCCACAGAAGTCTTCTCACAGGGATACGTGTCCAAGCTGTAACCCTCCTAAGATTACAGCTTAATTCCCTGCCCTGGGACTACATGTTTGATACCATCCACCTTTCAGACTGTTTAACTTATTCATTCTCTGCCATGAATGGAACATAAAGAAGATGCCGCAGAGCCTAGTTGAAACCTAGTAAACTTAGTAAAAACCCATCAATCCATCTTCTGTTACCATTTGTCCTATTCCTGGTTGTGGTGCCCTGGAGTCCACAGCTGCAAGGCAGGGAACAACCCTGGATGGGGTGCCAACATATTGCAGGGCACCCACACATATCATTCACACCTATGGAAAACTTGGCAACTCCAGTTTAACCTCAGCATGTTTTTGGACTGTGGGGACTAACTGGAGTAGTTGGAGGAAACCCCATGATGATAGGGAGAGAACATGCAAGCTCCACACACACGGAACACTAGCAGAGACTCAAACCCAGGTCCCAGAGGTGTGAGGCAACAGTGCTAACCACTGCAATACCATGCCACCCCCTAGCAAAAACAAAGTTTTGCAATACATCTATGTGATCGCTACATGCAGCGTTCCAGGGTTGGCACAAAGCAGTTCAAGCTTACGTTACCTGGCGTGTAACTAAATCTCGTTTAGCTTGCCTTTGTGTAACCTAGCACTGTAGGTGTGGTCAGAAATGCCATATCATTCAAGCTACACCCCAAACTATGCATCACTGGTGCACTACCCACATCTGAATGAAGAGTCAGCTTTGTGTAGTCTCATGGATTGCTGGTTCTGGGCTCTAAAAAATTACTATAATTTAATAGGATAAAATTATATTTCTGCTAATGCGCTAAAGTTCAATCTTAATGTGATCAACGTTAATCTTAATTTTATTAATGTGTAAATGTGAATCTCAGACTTTATAAACATGGTCAAACAAGAATATAGAGTGGAGCAATGTTTCATATTTCTGCAACCAGTAAACGTTTTATTAACATGACCACAAGTACTCCAGTAAATTCATGACTGGTGTGTAGAGTTTCAGTGCTCAGAGTGACAGTTTATATTTTCAGTAATTCAGGTTCATTTTTTTTTTGTTACTTCAGTGATGTAATACATTTTTTAGCAAAAGAATACAAAAACATACTAAAATAAGTATGCTGAGGTCATAACCGGAGTTCAGACTGTGTGCTTCTAACAGTATTTTCCTCCAAAGGAATAAAATAATAGGGTGACATCAGACTGTGTGAGATCTGAATACAACAAAATAATAAGGAGCCTACAGGGGGAAAAAAATCCATAAAAAATTTATCAACATTTTCAGACTGAAAGCAGTGAGATAAAATGGGTGTCCAGAAGTGTACAGAGGGAAAACAATTAAAAACACAGAGAAACAGGCTCCTCCCACATCTCCTCCTGCCTCAGCGCCTCCCGGATGCTCCTGCTCTTTTCCATACCTTCATCCAGCAAACACGGGGTACTCACTAGTTCCACCAAAATTTTGGTCATTCCAGTAATTTAGCAACATGACGATATGACGTGGACAGCTCAGTGCCGCTCAGCCAGTCGTGTCCATCGGGTGGCCCTCTCCTCCTCAGCACTGCGGCACCTCCTGCTGTCTTACGTCATCCACAGATATTACGTTGTGCTAATTCTACTAAGTTCTTGTCTAATGGCTGCAAGAAAAGACAGAAAGAACAACAGGCTTGGTAATGTGATTCAATAGTTCATGAACATAAGGAGAAACTTGGGTCCTTGTGTTAGAGACATTTATTTAGCTTTTTTTTTTATCATAGAAAGGCCAATTACTTAAGATCGGCATTCTGCTGCTATCCAGATTCATTATCCATAGCTGCAATTTAATTTTGAAAAATAAAATTTAAAATTACCATCACTTGTACTTTACTCTGGTTTTGAGCACTTTTGTGTGTTTATTGTTTGCTTTTTGTACTGTATCTCTACAACTTCTGTATATATTCTTATATTCGTAAAGTAATAGTGATATAGTGTAGTGTGCACTGTTTCTTACTGTGTTACTGTAGTGTCTTGTGGCAGTTTGTACGTATTGTGTATGGTATACGCATTTGATCTCCCCAAACCTGTTATACACAAAAAGTAAGCAGGAAGGTTATAGACAGGAGCTACACCACAGGCCATGGCTTCACACAGTAGTGCGACACACAGTAAGTAATACAGAGTGAGATATGGAGAACCCAGCACAAAAACACACTGCATTTACAGTAACTACCACACAGGAAAGTGATCACACAGAACATCTAGAATAAAATAATGCAACCCAGAATAAGCAGTACACGGCCGATCTAACTCATACTATGTGGAAGAATGCAAGGAATTGCTGTACACAGAACACAGTTTGTCAAGTAATACTCAAGAAGTAGAACGCAAGGAGGTCACACACACAGCATTACAGAGAAAAGTGCCTCAAAATAACCAACACACTAACTGTGATACAGGCATCATGCAGACAAATGAGTGACTGTGACTCATACAAGGAAATGTGTCATACATAATAGAGAACAAAGCGAATCACAAAGAAAGATGATACACAGTCACATTCATAATAGGCCAAATAAAATTATACTCCACATCTGACTAATCACAACACACCAATACCATAAACTCACCATTGATTATTTCATCTTTCACCTTGTGCAATTCACGTACAACCTCCTCCAAGATTTCCTGCAACAGGAAAAGCGTGACCTTTTCCATGCATCTGCTCTGCAGTGTAAATCATTTCCATGCACAAAAGATTTGTAATAGAAGGACAAGCATATCCAGTATTATATATAACACCTTATCTAATTTAAATAATAGTTTATATATATTTGTATGTGTGAGGAGTAGGTAAGGAGCCTGCACTGATACAGCATGTTGCCACACCCACCACAGGGATGAGAACCCAAGCACAGCTGAGTGGTATGTGATTCCTCAGCACCACACTAGTCTGAATGAAATGGAATAGTGCAAATTGTTTCCTGCTGGCTGGAGTGCCAATCCTGCCACCAACTCCCAAATTTTCCCCTGAAACTTGGAGGACCTGTTTGCAGGGCTGGATGTAGATTAATGTCATACCCAGAACAAAGGAATTGCAGCTTAAAGGCCTTGTTCAAGGGGACACGGAGAATAAACACTCCAGGCATTCTGCTAACCTTACGATTTCCAACACAGATCCCCAGCCTCAGAGCCACCACTTCGCCCATTTGTATGGGTATGTATAGATATATATGCATATGTGTGTGTGTGTGTGGCCCTTTTATTAAACATACTGGGGCAGTACAGCATAAGATCCATGTTTGCCTCCAAAACCTCTTCAAGGATAGATGCATTGTGTATTCAGAGAAACCTTTCTGCACACCATAATTGTACTGTGCTGTTATTTTGCTCTTGAGGCCTTCCTGTGGCCTTTAAGGATTCTGGCCATTCACCTCTGACCTCTTTCAGTAAGAAGGTGTTCCACTGAATGGGTGTTTTTCATTGCACCATTCTCTGTGAACATGTAGTGTGTGAAAATCCCAGAAAGCTGGCAGTTTCTGAGATGTGGGAACCACTGGCCAAACAGTTATTTAGGCTCTCCATGCTGTCAGGGTCCTGTATGTATTCATCAGCAGCCACAGGATTGGCTGTTTGGATGAACAGGCTGTTTGTGTTTATGAGCCGGTGTACCTGAAAATACACAGGCAACTGACTATATACTTGCTATATATTTCTCAGTGAAATAAAAATCTAACGTGGTGGAACTGTGGTGGGGAAAAAAACAAAGAGTCTATTTGTCTGACAAGTGTCTGTTTGCAAATTTACCTGCTTCATTTTGTCAAAGTCTAAGGCGTCCATATCACTGCTGCTCCCTACGGGTCGTACCCTGTGGGGAGTAAAAACCATTAATGAACCCCAGTGTCTTCTGACAAATGAATGCCCATAGTCTCCTCACACTATATTCAGAATCCATCTTCAGGTGCTGATCCAGCTCAGGGCTTTTCTGCTGCCATTACAGTGAGTTCTGTGAGATTTGTAAGCCCCACTGATCCAGAGCCCAGGCTCCTGACCTGTCATCTTGAAAGCTCCTCAGAGGTGGCATGGCCGGGACTGGGGCGGCTGCAGGACCCGATAGTGTGCCCTATCTTAAGGAAAATACAATATCTCCATCTCAAGCACCTGTTTTGTCCTTGTAGTTCCTGTACTCTACTTACAACTCCTAGCTATGAAGTAGAACTCTAACATCTGCCTGATGGGGGTGAATCTAAGGGGTTGCCATGGCCCCACCCCAGTTACCACTCCTCACAAAAAATAAAAACAAGATATGAATCATTTTATCCTGTAAACCAGAGCTGCCAAACCTCATTTATCATGGTATGTGATTAATAGATAATGCCTGTGATTAGAAAAATGTACTAAAGGACCCCCCCCCACACCAACAACTGGAAAAATATGACCCCATTGCCACACCAGTAAAATCACTGGATCTGCTCTGGCCCCCGCTGCCTGAACCCTTACTAGCCCAGTGCTGACTCATGCAGCTACTGAACTGTGCAACAGTCTTAGGCAGTCAAAAGGAATGTTTAGAGCTGTTTATCTGGGCAGTAAGTGCACTTTTGCTCAGAACAAAACACACAATTTAGTATTAGAACATGGAATTACTCATTCCATGTGTTTATTAAATTTCACCACCAGCTCATTTAATTAATTAAATAAGTTAAAACGGTCAGTGAGATATTGATTAGCTGTAGGAGGTATGCTCTAATACATGGGTACATTGGATGGTTCCTGCAAATCCTGGGGTGACTTTAGGAGAGATTTTGAAACTGTTAACACCGGTATAATACCATAGTTTGTACACCGACATGAAGATCATTTAAACATCATTTTCTTTGGCCACCTAAGAGCTTTACACAGTACAGTAGGTACCCTAACCTCTCTCCTGGCATCCTCCTGTGTCTGCTTGTCCAGGGCTCCAGGATAGCTTTTCCAGTAGTAGCACTGCTGCTACTAGTTTTCCAATTGGTTACACCAGCACATGATCTGGCCGCACCTGCACTTTTTGGTGCAGCATGATATTAATCAATGACCTTACATGCTGATGAATAATTGTCCGAATTTGCATACCCTAGTTTTTTTACTGGAGAAACATTGACAGTGACTCAAGACTTGATACAGTAACACCATCATATTAGTGAGGGTTTGGTGTGGCAGATTCCTGCAACTGTACATAAGAACATAAGAACTATACAAACGAGAGGAGGCCATTCGGCCCATCGAGCTCGCTTCGGGAGAGCTTAACTAATAGCTCAAAGTTGTTAAAATCTTATCTAGCTCTGATTTAAAGGAACCCAAGGATTCAGCTTGCACTACGTTATCAGGAAGACTATTCCATACTCTGACTACACG